CATTTGACCCAGCTATTCCCCTGCTGGGTATCTTCCCCAAAGAATCGAAAGAATCATATCACAGCGATATATATGCACCCATGTTTATAGCGGCACAGTTTGTAATAGCTAAAGCTTAGAAGCAGACCAAGTGCCCATCAACTGGAAACTGGATAAAGAAGATGTGGTTTTTTTATAAAATGGAGTACTACTCAGCCATAAAGAAAGAGAAACTAGAGTCATTTATAGCTAAATGGATACATATCGAGGTTATACTCTTAAGTGAAATAAATAGGACACACGTGTAAATACCAAGTAGTTTCTCTAGTGTGAGAAATTAAAAGTGTAAATAAGGGTTAAAATGATTAAAATGAATAACTGATAATTTGAAATAGGAAGAAAAGGGGCAAAGGGGTAGGGGAAGTAGGAAGGGAAGAGGGAAAAGAGAGAAGGGAAAGGAAAAATTATGAGAAAAGAAAAAAAATAGAAATGATGTCTATGTAAATAGGGAAGGGCACACAGGTAATGGGGAAAAAATAGGAATCAAGATACATTATGTACAGGTACAAACACCCAATGATAAATGTAAACATATTGTATACCTAAAGTGTACCAAAACAAAAGAACTTAAGAATAAAAAAAAAAAAAGGTAGCTGAAAGAGTGATTAGGATCCCTGAGGGGACTGGGCAATTTCACAAATACATGAAACCTATTCTGTGAATAGTACAAAATTACTACTACTAATCAAGTATCAGAAACTATACTAAGCATTTCAAAGTTATCTCAATTCATTGAGAAGGTGATAATTTAGGATTAGAAGGGGAAAGAGAATAGTAGAAGAAACATATAAAGGTATGTTCTAAGCCAGAATTTGATAACTGTTATAAGAAAAATTCAAAATACTACTGGGGTCCAAAACAAGGGGAATAAAATATGCAGGAAAGTAATTAGAAAAAGACAACTAGAAATGTGTGGCAGCTGTAAGGATTTAAGAGTGTAACTTGAAGCTAGGTATGGTGGCATATACCTGTAATCCCAGCACTATGGGAGGCTGAAGCATGAGTTCGAGGCCAGCCTGGGCTACATAGTGAGTTCAAGGCCAACCTGAATTATACAGTGAAACCTTGTCTCAAAAAAAAAAAGAGTGTAATTTGAACTTTGCTTGTACATGGGTAACCCCAAGGCCTAAAAGATTTTATTTGCCTCTTTATTCCCCAGATTTTCCTTTGTAAGACACAGAGAGTAAAGTCGGCCCTCTGCAGATCTCACTGGGCTGTTGTACACTTTCATCACAATCATAACTCCAGTACCTTGTCTAGCTGGCTTCTCCCAGACGGCACAGGCTCACATTCTGAATTATCCTCCTTTGAAAGTTTGTCAGGGGAGGATGCTTTGCTGTCATCTGCTTTTCTTTTTCTTCCTCCTTATATTTCAGAAAGAGAAAAGTGACTCAAGTTCTCAATAAATCACTGTCCTCAGGAAATAACCTTGTGGAGACTACCCAGTAAAGGTAATTCTATAACCTGAATTATAGTGCATTTATATGCCAGCTAAAGAAAGAGTTCAATTATATAATCTCTCCAACTACTGATGCTGATATACACTGATTGAAAAAATATAAGATATAAAATGTCATAGCTTAACTCAATGTGGCTGAGAGACACAGGATAAGAACATACTTATCTTTCCTTTGTTTCTGCTTTTTGTTGATGCAGAGCTGCTATGAGGTATTACATCTAAAGTCTCCAAGTCAAAGTTTGCAAGAGGAGGAACATAGTCTGGAGTGACTGGAAAGAGAGCAGGCAGAAGTTCAATGCATACCAACCATGCACCACCACTAGGTTTGGAATACGATTATCCAACTGGCTAAAAACTAGTTTCCAAAATTACCAAGCATAGCAGTTAATGTTTTACATTCCCACCCTCTGACACTGCTTTCACACAGCAAAATGGCCAGTGAACTTACAGCAATGTCATACTACAGTAACTGATCATGATCAACTAACAACCATTCCAAATAATGATATAAAACCACACAGAAAAGGACTAAAACAAACTTAGATTCAAAAATCTAAGGATATTAATAACATTTGGTCCAAAAGCATTTTTTTGGGATTTAAAAAATTTTTTTTCTCAGATCAGGAATTAAACCCAGGGCTTCGTGCATGCCAGCAAGTGTTCTACCACGATACTACACCCCAGACTTTATTTTGAGGTACAGTCTCACTAAATTTCCCAGGCTGGCAGTGAACTGTGTTCCTCCTGTCTCAGCCTCCTGAGTGGCTCAGATTACAGGTGCAGTTGTGCTCTACTAGTGTCCTACAGAGCTTCATTTTACACACAATTACTTTAGATGAGGGCCTTGGGGAGGCTCGATATTTTCTCCAGAGAATTAAGCTAACTCCTCAAAACAGATGGTGTACTTAATGATCAGAAGGTATGAAGAGGCCTCTATCTTTACTGCTGGTTCCTAACTATATTCAGATAGGTAAAGGTCACCAGAAATGTAACATCCAAATAAACAAAGTAACTTGATGACAGCCCAACTCATATTTTATATAATTTCTTAATAGTTTTTTTTTTTTCTTAACTAGTAAAATTTCCTGACACAACAGGATGACATGGATGTAATGATTAAAAATTTTGTTTGAGGGCTGGGGGTTTAGCTCAGTGGTGCCACTGCCTGCCTCACAAGAGCAAGGTCCCCAGTTCAGTCCCCAGTACCAAAAAAAAAAAATTTCTGTTTGGCACACATTTCCTCAATGCAGAGGTGCAGGGGTCATCACTGAGCCAGGCTTCTCTATCTCACCACTGACCTAACAGGGCTATGAGTATCAGATCCCTACCCGCCAAGTACTTCTCCAGGATGTCCTGCAGCTCCACAATGTTCTTCAACCGAGTGAGCACTTTCCCCTTCATCTCAGGTGATGGTTGTTGGCAGAAGGCATTCATGACCTGCACATTGTATTCTCACGTTGACGTGTTCAGGTTTTAACCTTAAAATCTGCATTATTTGCATTATTCACTTAGAAATCAAAGCTGTCTCTAGGAAGTATATCTGTGGTTTCTATGGTAGTTTGGATTTGGTGTTTTCTGTACTAAGGACTGAACCTAAGGCCTCATGTGTACAAGGTAAATGCTCTACCACTAAGTTACTTCCCTAGCCTTCAACTATAAAATGAGAATATAGAGTAGTTGTTGTATGAATTAAATGTCACAAATAAAGAAATTAACTCAGTATTTGGTACTGAATAAAATTTAGTGACTTTGAAATTCTATGTAAAACAAAGACAATGCCTGTCCAATCTATATTATAATAAAACTGTGATGACTAAATGAACTCATTCAAACACACATCTCTGAAATAAAATGCAAGAGAAAGGCACTGAGACAGCAGAAAGATGCTGCCATCACCATCCCTATTATTATTAAATGTAACATGTGCTAAAGGCAGGGAAACTAACAACCACTCATCTCACTGCAGCCAAACACTGAGCGTGCGCCTGCGCCTGCACCTGCGTGAGTGCCAGCGGAGAAGGTGAAGAGGTCATTCTAGGCAGAAGTAAGGATCAAGAAGGCTCAGAGTAGATAAAGCATGGGTTACACGAGTTCATTCTAAGTGCTTTGACCTGGCGATGCCAAGTACATGTACTAGCTGGAAGTAGTGGGGTGTAACAGCTAGAGAGGCACACAGGCATTAGTGCTTGGGGGTTCTTGCCGGGAGTTGAGAGAATACCTTTGTTTTGAGAGAACTATTGACAGTAGATGAAATGTCCCTGTAACTCCACTTACCTCTCGGAACCAGTTGAGAGTAAGAAATATGAGTGAACACATGAATGAACGCTCTTTAGCAGGCATGGACTCCAGCCTCTCTCCAGGCTCCAGGTCAGTAAGGAATAAAGGGCAATCTAAGAGAGAAGAATAAACCTTTCCAACACCCTGGAGCTATTTACTTTCCGCTTTAACTTGTATTTGGGGGTCAAGCTCTGATTAATCTCAAAAAATACTTCCATATTATACAGCAACCAACAAATATAATTAGGAAGTATTTTCTTTTCTTTTTTTCATAGTACTGAGAATTGACCCCAGGACCTCACAAATGCTAAGACCTCAACACTGCACTACATCCACAGCCCTTTTTAAAATTTTATTTTCAGCCAGGTGTGGTGGCACACACCTGTGATCCCAGCACTCAAGGGGCTAAGGCAGGAGGACTGCTCTGAGTTCGAGGCCAGCCTGAACTACATAGTGAGACCTTATCTCAAAAAACCAAAACAGGGGCCAGGGATTTAGCTCAGTGGTTTCGCCCACCTGCTGCACAAGCGCAAGGACCCAAGTTCGATCCCCAGTACCAAAAAAATAAACCAGGGCCAGGATTTAGCTCAGTGGTGCCACCACCTGCCTCACAGGTGCAAGGTCCCAAATTGGATCCCCAGTACCAAATAATAATAATAATAATAATAATAATAATAATAATAAAATTTTATTTTCAGGTAAAGACTCACTAAGTTGCCCAGGCTGGGCTCAAACTCACAATCATTCTGCCTTAGCTTCTGGAGCAGCTGGGATTAGAGCTGAGCACCACCATGCCTATCTTATAATGAGAAAGTTGTGCAACAGCTATGAGAGACAACCACTGGAAAGTAACATGGAACTATGATAACAACTGATTTGATAACATCATGCAATCCTACACATACTATTTTATCTCTCGAATTCCATTATTGTTGCTATCCTATTCTATGAAATTAGAAATTCCTTCCCACATACACCATGTACTATGTACCTATGTACCATGTACCTTATCTATGTTTGGCAAAAATGTCAGAAAAAAGAAAAGATCCAAGACTTCATTCTATACCTAATAAACCATCAATCTCCTCCAGGTTTCCATTATGTTGTCTCGTCATACAAAATCTCAATAACCGGAAAGAAGGAGCCAGGCACAATGGAGACACCAATCTGGGAAGGAAAAATCCATTTCTAGACCACACAAAGTCATTGTCATTTTAGTCCACGTCTATAGGGAGTTTGATTTATAACTTAAAACTTTTCCCCAAAGTAAATGCCTACTTTCAAGAATAAATGGCAACAAACTTAAGGAATGTTCAGTAAACAATGACCTGAATTGCAAGAAGGAAGAAGTTATATAGAATGACTGAGAAGCACATGTAAGATGGAAGGAGGGAGTGAGAGGTAGAGATGGGCAACAATGTTCACAGGAAAGAAAGCAATAGGTAAGGAACAGAGAAGAGTAGAACAGAAAATAGCCTCACAGAACACCTGTTGGTTCTCATGAAGCAACATAAACTTCAACGTCTGGATCCAAGAAAAAAAATAAGGAATTTGTCCCATTCCCTCTAAATCGCCAAATAACACTTATCTTGGGAGAACCCCCACCCTTTTATTTTTTTGAGACAGGGTTCAGGATAACCTTGAACTCACTATGTAGTTCAGGCTGGCTCAAACTTGTGGCAATCCTCCTGCCTCAGCCTCATAAGTACTGAGATTACAAGTGTGCAGCACCACACCTGGTTTCAGGAGAATCCCTTTTAACTCAAGTTCCCTACACACTGAAAGAACTGTAAAATTCCCTGTGAACATTCAAAACATCAACAAAGATTTGGGGAAGAAGGGGGATCATACTGACTTTTTGCCTGATTCCTGTGAAGTCATTTGATACCCATCTTTCACAGATTCCTCAGAGAAGAATAGAGGCAGGAGATTGATGGCAATCCCATCATGAGTATTATATTCTTCCAGTCCGTAGAGAGCTTTCACAGGAAACGGAAATTCACTGTGAAGACAGAGAAGCCAGAATCTCATGTCCTAGCTCAGGGGCAAGCAAAGCTATGGAGAGCAAACCAACTGGAGAAGTTAGAAACAGGAAAAAGAACAAGTGGGGACTTTGAGCAGTTCTGGAGTTCAGGGCAGGGCTGTGCAGGTAGGGAAGCAGCTGTGGGAAGGTCAGACTTGGCTGCAGTGAAGGACGTTATGAACTTTGCCTCAGCTACTGACAGCTGGCGTAACTCCCTCATTAGTACAACCACAGCAGCAGGTAAGCAGCACTCACCCTTTTGAGACATCACAGAGGTCTACCACGAAGGCATCTTGGAAGTCATTACAGATGGTCTTTCCAACCCATTCCTTCAGGAAACAAACAAAAGACAGTGTAGTCCAGGGTGGACTTGCTCTAAAGCCCTAGAAAAATTATTGTTAACTTTCCCAAACCTCAGTTTTCTCATTTCTAAAAAGGAAAGAACAATGTATACCTCCTTACTGTGAAGCAGAAGAGAGATAATATACAGAAAGTGCTTAGCAGGGCCGGGTATTTAGCTCAATGGCACCATGCCTGCCTCACAAGCTCAAGGTCCTGAGTTCAATCCCCAGTACCAAAACTAAAACAAAAATAAAGAAAGTGCTTAGCACAGTAACAGGGCTGCCAAACACACAGTGTCTATCATCAACACCAAGCACATTCTCCACTTCTTCCTCATTACTGCAATTACTGTTATGTGGAGGAGGCCGGGAAGGAGAGCCCAAAGCAGGATGGGGTAGAACAGCCCTTTCAACTACAACTTGGTAGCACTCACAGGATGATCTACTTGCAGCTCTTGTGCTTTATTGCTTTAAGAGACACTGGACCTTACCAATGTTTTTGGAGCCATCTTTCCTTCTTGGATCAGGTTGGCGAATTCATCATAATACAGTGCAGAGGCCTGAGGAGACTGCTGACTGGAAGAGTGAACCAGCTGCAGCAAGGATGTCACCTGGGGCAGCAGAAAAGAAACAACGCTTGCCCTGTGAACAGTGGGCCTTCCTGAGCTCCCACGGCCCCATTCTACAGTAAGTTCCCTTTCCAGCCATACTACCAAGCTCTCCCCCACCTGAGATTTTCCTGAGCCTCCTGACCACTGTTGTCTCTTTCCATTCACTTTTTCTAATACATCACTCATGCAGCCAGATTAATTTTTCTCAAGTAAAACTTTGATTATACCATTTCTACACTAAGAAAGCTTTCAGGATTATCTCTGCTTAAAAAGGGAAATAACAAGGTCCTGAGTTGGATCTCTGGTACAAAAAGGGGGGGGGGGGATAAAAATATCTTGGGTGACATTCAAGACCCTCAGGTTTCCATCTCTGAACTAGCTTTATATCCAAGCATACACTTCTCTTCCCATATGATCCAACCAATCTGCCATTTTTTTTCCTTCTGGGAGGTGAACACGCTAGGGATCAGATCCTGCCCCTTATACATGGTAGGCCAGTGCTCTACCTCTGGATCACCATCCCCGTCCCCATAGTAGAGACTGAACACAGGGCCTGGTGCATGCTAGGCAAGCCTTCTACATTCAAAGCCCTTTTTATTTATTTACTTTTTAATTTTGACTAGGGTCTAGCTAAGATACCTAGGTTGGGCTCAAACTAACGATCCTCTTGCTTCAATGTCCCAAGAAAATCGATTAATAACCATGTATGCCCAGCTAACCAGAGTCATCTCTCTTGCTAAGAATTTACAATCTCTTAAAAAAAAAAAACAGAATTTGCATTTCTTTTTGTTGTTTTGAGACAGGGTCTTGCTATGTAGTTCAGGCTGCCCTTGAACTCACAAAGACCCTCCTGCCTCAGCCTTTCAAGTACTCATAAGTGTGTGGCACTATACCCAGTTAGAATTTCAATTTAATTAGAGTTTAGAAAGATACAGTAAGTAAAGGCATCCCAAGCCAAGAGATTCTAAGTCCCACAAAAATGTCAAAAACCATGAAAGCTATGAGATAGAAGATAATATTTTTTTCGGTACCAGTGACCAAACTTGGGACCTTGAACTTGTGAGGCAGGCACAGGAACCACTGAGCCAAATCCCCAGCCATGATAATATTTTTAAAAAGCACTCTTCCTGATGAACTGACAATAACAATAAGCACCTCCTCAGTTTCTCAGAAGCATACTTGAGCACTTAACACAAGCTCACCTGTGTGCCCTGCTCATTTCTCGGATTGGCTCTCCCTCGGGTCAAATTAGAAGACTCACTTCTAGAAGAAGGAATTTTAGTTTTATTTTTCAATATTTTGTAACAACTGGCAGTAAGTTTAAGAATCCTAGCTTCCCTGAGGCAAGAGTAGAGATAATGAAGGCGTGGAGGGACATTATATTGTCTACACAAACTGTGGATACAGATAAAAAATGGTTCAGGGTTTGTTTGTTTTTTTCCCCATTAACTTTATTGGTACATTTTAGGTATAAAACACAGTTACATTCATCATTGGGATCTTGTACCATTACATGAGCATCTTAGTTCTTATTATTTTCCCCTTCCGCTGCCCTCCCTTCACCCCCTCCACCCTTCCCTATTT